ATTATATTGTTTAATCTTTTGCCTTCTTCGTGGTTGATTTAAGAATCTTATAAATTAAAGTTAGGTAAAATTGAATGATCACTTTTAGAAGTTTTACTTTTAGATGTTTTATAGGATTAAATTTGATTTGTTTTGTTTAAACTAAGCTACTTACACATATTTATCATTATTATGGTAATAATAATGTTATGAATTACAGGAAGTACAATTTACTTTGCTTGTCAATGACTTGCCCAATTATCAATGTACTTTGAGTGCTACTATTATTACTACTATTATTACTTATAATAATAATTATCATTATTACTATTATTATATTAATAATAATCTTATTCGTATACATCCTCTTGTAATTTAGTTGTATATTTCGTTGTTTTGTTTTCTCGCAAATGCTGTAATTCCCCGTTGGGTTTTTAAAGTAAAAACATTATAAATATCTTGATGTCCCTGCAGTCACTGGGACATAAACTCTGTCAGTTATGAAAGAAAAATCTTTAAACCTGATGAAGACATTTTAAAATTGATGCTGTTATCTTATTTTCTAAAAGGCAAAAAAGCTGTTAGTTTTACATATAGTGTTTAAATTCGGAGTGAAAGTTACTCACATCGGTGCAAAACAATATATTTTTTTAAACTTCAGCATTCACTGCTGTCAACTGTGCTTGTTAGCAAAATGTCTCATGAACCACAGGACCAATGAAACCCTCAGAAAGCAATGAACATTGTGAGCCAATTGCCTGCCACAGCTATTTAATGACTCAAAGAAGAGCTGTAATTTGGTGTGGTATCTGAGAGTTAGGCCGATCCATAGAGTGACATCTGTAAGATTTATTGTCATATTTTAAATGTTGACATGAAAGGCGGCAAGCGACATGCATCCATCAAGAAATACTCTCCAGAACACGTTCAGAAGCTGACAGGGTTACACATTCAACCTTGGGAAAGCGTCAATATGTGACGAGTCAGGAAGAGAATGGGTTCGACAGGGTGCTGCAGCTTATTTGCTTTTA